CAGAGCTGCAGAGCTCACTCTGAGCGGCCACAGCTTTCTGGGTCGCAAGCTCTGTACCTCTGAGCCATCGACACACCCTCACCCGCACTCGGCGATATTGAATTGTGCCCAAGCGCTAACTCCAGACTGCCTTCCTGATGGATTCCAAGACAGGGCTCAAGCCTTGTGTAGCGAAGAGGCTCAGATGCCCTTAATTGCTCAGGGATGTTCAAGCGCTTTTTTGACTGAGAAGCTTGGTAGCCTATCATAAACCTGAATTTAGCATACAGCGGTGTCCTCTTCACCTATGTGGCAGAGGGACGTACCAAAAGGTGCAGTGACAGTGGGCCGCCACTAGAGTCCGCCAAACTCTGAGCTAAAAAAACTTTTAAATGCATTGCTCTGTGATTGAATAAGCGAATTATATGTTTCTTTTATCACGAGATTGTATAAGAGCATGTTGTTTGGTCCACCAGATGTCAGTTGACTATGGAGAAAGCTGTGTTAATGATTTCTCTCTCTCAGCCTGCAGTCACAGCTGTGTGTCAAGTTAAGGGACTTTGTCAAAGGACTGTGCAGTAAGGCATAGCCAGGATTCCCACAGAATCTCTTCTGAAGGGAAATTTAAACCAAGAGCAGAAGGCACTTCTTTTTACAAAGGGCCGTGGGAGTGTGTAACAAAACATCCAGCCGTGTTGTTGGGGCCGATACCCTGGAAATAGCTGGATGGGAATGACGGAATGCTTAGCTAATAAAACCCAGCCTCTTCCAGTTAGCAAAGTTTAATCCAACTCCCTTTCAGGAGAAAAGGGTAAAAACGGAAACTGATAGCATGCATGTATTGACTGGAAAAACGAGCATGTCCTCACACAAAACGTACTGGGAGTCTGAAATGAGCTGCCAAGCCCTCCCGAAGAAGCAGATTCTCTGGGAATCCTGAAGAGATCGTCTGATCAGCAACCACGATGGATTGAAACTTAAAAAAAAAAAGTGTCAGGAAGTTTTCTCTTGAGTGTGCTTGAGCGGATGGTTGTGAATCTCCGCAGCTGCTTTAATCGCACAGGTTATTCTCCTGCTTTCCCAGGCCCTCGTGTCATTTGCAGTGCAGGACTTTGGCGCCCCTATCCTCCTAATAGTGTAATTGAATACATTCATGAATTAGAGAAGACTGTCATTGGGCTTTGATACTTCACAGGATTTCTTAATCTGTTAAAATCTTGCACCATTTGCACTGAATCATTTATTTTAACTTGTCACATGTCAGTGTAAACATGTATAGTTTAAAGCCCGACATGGGTTGGGTTGCTGTGCGCTGGGACTTGTCTGTCCTGCCATTATTGCAGTCCATGCAGTAGATCGTCATTGCAAGATTCGCCACTGCAGGAGGCTTTAAAGGCTTTGGCATTTGGGAAATGCGGGTGTAGATGGCGTGAGAGCCGCTGTGACTCCCTTTCTCTCTCTCTCTCTGCCTTGCCGAAGGGATCGGGAAAAACGTGATCTGCGAGAAGGCCGCCACCTCGGCCGATGCCTTCATGATGGTGACGGCGGCCCGCTACTACCCCAAGCTGATGAGCCTGATGGGGAACGTGCTGCGCTTCCTGCCGGCCTTCGCGCGGATGAAGCAGCTGATCGACGAGGGCTACGTGGGCGAGGTGATGGTGTGCGACGTGCGGGTCTACTGGGGCAGCCTGCTGGGCAAGACCTACAACTGGATCTGCGACGAGCTGATGGGCGGCGGGGGGCTGCACACCATGGGCACCTACATCGTGGACCTGCTGAGCCACCTGACGGGCCGGCGGGCCGAGAGGGTGCACGGGCTGCTCAAGACCTTCGTCAAGCAGAGCGGCGCCATCCGGGGCATCCGGCACGTCACCAGCGACGACTTCTGCTTCTTCCAGATGCTGATGACGGGGGGCGTCTGCAGCACCGTCACCCTCAACTTCAACATGCCGGGGGCCTTCGTGCACGAGGTGATGGTGGTGGGCTCCGCGGGGAGGCTGGTGGCCCGGGGCACTGACCTCTACGGGCAGAGGAACACCGCCTATCAGGAGGAGCTGCTCCTGGCCGACCCCCCGGGGCCGCTGGACAAGGGGCTGCTGGACATCCCCTTGCCCTACCTCAGGGGCATGGTGTGCATGGTGCAGGCCCTGCGCCAGTCCTTCCAGGGCCAGGAGGACCGCCGGACCTGGGAACTGCAGCCCCTGGCCGCGGCCGCTTCCTTTGAGGACGGGCTGTACATGCAGTGCGTGGTGGACGCCATCAAGACGTCCAGCCGCACCGGGGAGTGGGAGACGGTGGAAGTCATGACCGAGATGCCCGACGCCAACCAGAACTTGTGCGACGCGCTGCAGAGGATCAACCCCTGAGGATCCCTGCAGCCCAGCCGGGCTCCGGGGGCAGTGACCTCCCGCCTTCAGGGAGCTGGTGAAATTCCTCCATCCCCTCTTCTGGAGGTTGTGCTCGGCCAGTGATTAGACTTCCCCCCCTCTTGTAGAGCAAATAGGAGCTACAGCACACGGAGCCCCTCTGCGACCAGACCGAGCGTTTGCAGGCCTTCACTCGTGCTGTCTTGCCGACTCCTCTCGTTCTGTCCTCGGTGCTTTCGTTTCATTCCCTTTGTCTGCACATTGTGCATCTCTGGTTTTCAAAGCAAAGGCCTTTATTTTTTTTTTTAATTCAGAGCCGGCAGCTGGTAGGGGTTTGAAACTAGTTCTAACAAATGTGATGAATCTTTCCAGAGCTTTGACTTTCATCAGGAAGTAATTACTCCTAAAATATATATATATATATTTTTAAGTTTTGACAACTTAAAAAGCTCGTTTTTTTCTCACGGAACCTCTTCGATGCTTCTTTTCTGATATCTTTTTCTTGCATGAAAGGTGTTCTCAGGTCTGATCAGCATGATTAAGAACCTTTAAAAGGTTACTGGCTCGTTTGGTCAGGATTGCTGGTTAACTTGACAATACAAGGGGATCTTTTGCCCTCTATCCATATCAGAATGCCCTTTGACCTCTGGGGTGGAGGGCTGGTCAGTGCCTTATTGCTGGGGTTTCCAATCCTAGTTGTATTTTGTGCCAACCAAGCTTCGTTTCCTACTTTAATCCTTCGTTCATCTTTATTCTTAAGCATGTGGTAAGTTGCTTTTAACTATTGCATAGCCTAAGAAACTTAAAACTCTTCAAGTTTCAAATGCACCCCCCTCCCCCAACTGCTCTCAGTTAAGTAGAGCGCTCATCTTAAAACATGAAACAGGTGTGTCTGGGCCAGGACTAGGACTGGGAGCCCCTTACTTTAGGGCACTGAGTTATCAAAACCTTCTTCTCATAAATGAACATCTCTACTCCTCCAGAATCCATCAGACCTTATTTAATCAGTAGCTGAAGACCTATTTTGAAAGCTCAGAGAAGCTAATGCTGAGCTCACATAGGTCATGAGGAACAGGGATGTGAAAACCTGCAGACACCACTCTCCAAGACAGGATTTGTGCATTACAGCCTGAGTGTGCAGTGCAGTCGGGCACAGAAGCCAAGCCTGACTGACTGCAGCCTGATCAGTGAAGCACAGATGTGTGGTCATGCAGGGAATCCCCATCGTGGGCCTGGAGGCCCACACCCCTGCTGGATTTTAATCAAGCCAAGCTCTTTTACACAATTGAACTACTTGACTTAATAATAGGATTAACTTTCAGCTCTTCAACACTTTGGGTCGCCTTTTAACTGTTGTGTTTCATATGTAACGTACGATTCCCAACTTTTGATTAGAAGAAGAAAACTTGCAGGTATTCAAGCAACCTGTTAGTCCAGTTAAGGCTTCAATTAAGTAATTGAGTGGGGCTGGAATGAAAACCAGCAGTTCTGTGGGCCTCCAGGCCGGGATTGAAAACCCCTATTCTGGGGCACTGAGTTCCCCAGCCTCGTGTCACTGTTCTGTAATGTGTGGCACTGTCGTTGGCAAGATGACCCCTGAAGAGTGCGTATCAGAGGGGTACAATCACACATGACTGACACAGAACGGAAAGTAAAACAAAATGGGTGTGTTCTGTTAGTGAGGCGCTACATCTCTTCCTTCGCGCGTCCCCTTTGCTTTAGTCATCCCAGTGGGTCGGACTGTCTGCCACTGGGAATCTTCCACTTAGCGCTCGGCTCGGCTCAGCAGGTGGAAGACTGAACCTGCAGCAGTCCTGAATGCCCTGCGGATGTTTTCTTGATCCTACCCGAAACGTGTCTGCTGCTTAGGTGTAGGGGGGTCTGGGAGTTGCAGTTGGCGTAACTGGGCAGCCCGTTCTGTCTCTGCCAGATGTTCTCCATTTGCGATACCCTCTCTGTTTCGTCTAAGATGATGTTAGACTGAACCTGTCCTTTTGAGATTTTCAACCTGCAAATGACACTGGACATATCTGTAGATGTGTGTGTGTATATATATATGTTTGGGGACATAATTAGCAGTTTATGTTTCCAGACTACATATACAATGTACTGCCTTCACTCTGTGAGAAGAATGAGAAATCCCATGTGCTTCAGAAATGAGCTTTTGTAACTGAAAGATACAAAGAAAGAGG